CAGCAGGGTGGCCTGCAGTGCTCTTGTTGTGTTCCTGCAGTCTATGCACGGGATGGTGGCCTGCCACCCAACCTTGCCAAGGCAACAGTGCGGATAACAGTAGGGGATGAGAATGACCACACACCACACCTAGAGAGTGAGTCCTGCTCTGTGGAAGTCCCTGAGAACCAAAGCCGTGTGGCACTCTACACCCTGCGGGCCACTGATCCTGATGGAGGCGAGAACGGGCGCTTGGAATACCACGTGGCAGGTGAGGTGCACAAGGAGCCCTGTAGCTTCTTTCTTGGCAGTGGGTAAGGGCTGTTCACCGTGGGTTGCCCATGGCTCTGGGAAGCATCACCTGTGGCAGTTCCTGTTCCACTTCAGTTCTCTTCTGCTCCAAACCACGTATAGTTGCTGCCACCTCTCAGCCCTCTAGTTTCTCTGAGCACCCCGAGATCTGAACAAGCTGCACTTTCTCATTCCCCAGGCTCTTGTCTGGTTCCCCAGGCTTGGAGTAGTTCCACACCTCTCTTGGCTGTTCTGAACTGTTGAATTTACAGGTTGCTAAGTGTGATCTCTTTGCTGTTATCATGCCATACGTTATCTAGGGGCTCCCTGTGGCAGCAGCGCTGGCCTGTAAGCTGTTGGAGCCAGTTCTTACACACACACACACACAGAGCTGGACCAAGGAGGTTCAATCCTACTGCAGCCTTACAGAGAACAGCTCACTCTGCCTTCCCTGCCAGGCCACACTGGGGTGGACTTCATGCTGTCCTTTCTGGGCAGCATAGGGCAGGTCCTTCCTTGTACCAGTTGTAGTCATGCTGTCTTATTATTCCCTCTCTTCTTTTCCAGATGGAGACCCTGGGCAGGACTTCAGCCTAGACCCAGTCTCCGGTGTCCTCTCTACTGCACGAGCCCTTGACCGGGAGCAAGTTGCTTCCTACAGCCTCATAGTGGTGGTGCAAGACCACGGCACCCCTCCGCGCAGTGCCACCATGTCAGTGAACGTGCGGGTCTTGGACCTAAACGACAACGCACCTGGTTTTTCTCAGGACACCTATGTGGTGGAGGTGCCAGAGGATTTGCCTGTTGGTGCCCTGGTGCTGCAGCTGGTGGCTGAGGACCCTGACGAGGGCACCAATGGGCAGGTCTCTTACTACCTAGGCAATGAGTCACTTGGCATGTTCCAGGTCGAGCCGCAGAGCGGGTGCATCAGAAGTGCCCAGGTGCTGGACCGGGAACGCCACCCCAGTTACAGCTTCCTGGCCAAGGCTGTGGACTCAGCACCATGGGAGCCCAAGAGCACAGCTGTGCGTGTCACGGTCACAGTCCGAGATGTCAATGACCATGCCCCTGCCTTCCTGCACAGCCCACTCACTGTCAACTTGTCCCGCCACACACCGCTCAAGCAGGTCGTGGCCACCATGAGGGCAGAGGACAGGGATGCGGGTGCCAATGCCTCTATCCTGTATCGCCTTGCTACCCCCAACTCTGCCTTCGCAATCAACTCCTACACAGGGGATATCCAACTGCACTCTCCTCTACTGGTGTGGTGGTGATCCACTTGCAGGAGGAGCCCTACCGGGGGCTGCGCTTTCCCCGGAGCACCAGCGATGTGGCTCTGCCAGAAAATGCTGCCCCAGGTATCAGCTGGGCAGAGTGACCAGCAAGTGCTGGGATAAAATGGCACAGGACAAGAGGGGCGGTGGGTGGTGGGCTGGCAAAGCTGTGGGAAGCTCAGATCCAGGGAGCACTGCAAGGTCTTGGGAAGCACCATTATGCTTTGGGTAGACCCAAGAGACTGCGGGATCTGACTGGTGCCCAGGCTGTTCAGGGTGGTAATCGCTGTGGGTTTGCCTCAGGGTGTGCAGATCACCGTCGGCAGTCACAGGTGCCCAGTTGCTCCTGGTAGGTGTGCAGGGGCCACAGTGAGACCATAGAGGGGCTGTGGACAAGCCCCACGCATCCTGGCTCCCAGCCCAAAGTTACCATTAGGTCTCGCTTCCTCTGGCAGCAATGTCCTCAGGCAGCACTCTGTTCCTGCGGTACAGCATGTGCTGCCAACACGCTGCCCTAACCCTGACTGCCACCTGCCCTGAGACTCTGCTGCCCCTTCACACTGTTTCAATCTCTTCCAGGCACTGCCGTGGCAAGCATCCAAGCTGTGCACACAGGGGGCTCTTCTGGGCACATCATGTACAGTATCATCAGCGGCAATGAGAAGAATGCTTTCATTATCCAGCCCAGTTCAGGTACAGCACCAAGACCACCTGGGGAAGTAGCAAGTGGAAGGACAATGCCTGCTCAGCTATCACAAGGCTCAGAGCCCCCCCAAAGGCACAGGAACACAGTCCACACCTCTATACCAGTAAATTAGTGTTAGTATTTGGACGTGGACACTAACCTGTCATTGTCCAGAGATTGTTAGCACAGCTCCTAGCATGATTTTCGTCCCTCCTAACTGAACCTTTCCCCAAAAACCCCTTGGCCCAGTTCAGGAGTTAGCAGAGGCCAGGATCATCGCTAGGATACAGTCTGTGTGCACCCCCTGCCTTAGATGGTAAGTTCAGCCAAATGACACATCCTATGTTGGGGCTTCATAGCCAGACACCTGGACTGACACTCTTTATTCTCTGGTGTGCATGTAGCTGCTGTGACTGCAGCACTGCTGTGGATTCACGGCTGTAAACTGTTGTGCAGTCCCAAAGGTGGCAATAAATGGGGAACCTGTCCAGTGGGCATTCTAAGGGAGCCCTCCCTCTGCACCACACTGTTCCCTGAGCTGTCAGCAGGTGCTGAACAAATCAGTGGTGCTTGTGGGTGGCTGATACCCCAGGCAGAGCAGCAAAGCGGGTTGCAGGGTGCTGCCCAGTGACACTGGACAACCTGGCAGTGTTTGCACTGCATGCTTCAAACGGCAGCTTTTGAAGGATTGTACTTCCCTTGGCATCAGGGAAGTCCTGGCTGAGGGTAGGGTGAGGGGTACCTTGCTGTGAGGTTCGTGCTTGCCCTGTGGTTTGGAAGAGACTGGGATATCACAACGTCCAGTAGCAATGTAGGCTGGGGGATGAAGGGATTGAGAGCAGCCCTGCCGAGAAGGACTTGGGGGTACTGGTAGATAAAAAGCTGGACATGAGCCAGCAACGTGCGCTCACAGCCCAAGGGGCCAACTGTGTGCTGGGCTGCATCAAAAGAAGCGTGGCCAGCAGGTCGAGGGAGGGATATTTTCTCATGATATGAGAAAGTCAGTCCTTGGAGCACAGATGTCTAGCTGGAGCATCTTGTTAAAACCCCGTTCTCTTGTGCCTCCAAGATGGTTGGGTTTGGGACAGGATCCCAGGCTGACAGGGAACTTTCTGAAACTGTGCTTGTGCCCTGTGCAGCCCATGGCCACTGTGCAGGTCCTTGTGAGCCACCCATGGTATGGCGCAGCATGCAACCTGTTGGCACTACGATTAAGTACTAGCCACTGCAGGTTGCCCATGGACATGGCAGGAAATGCTCAGACTTGTGCAAGTACCCATCTGAAATCGCAGTGCCCATGGCAGCCCACTGTCACCACACATTCCCTCTGCTATCATACAGCCTCCTCTGCACCCTGGTGTCCCTGAGATCCCCTCACTGGACTGTGCTGCTGCTGCAAGCAAGCCACAGCATGGGCACTGAGAGCACTGTGAAGAGGCCAGGCCAGCACACTGTGTCTCAGGAAGGGGGTCCCAGCCCCCATTGGGGCATGGCCCCACTGAGTCCTGAGGAACCTGAGCCACAGCTGCAGGTTTCCTGCCGTGGCCTTGCATCAGGCAGCCAGCCAGCACCATGCTGAGCTCCCCCCACAGCACCGCCTGCACTCTGGCTATCCTAGAGTGCCTAATGCCACCTGGGAAGGAAGCCATGTGCACAGCCTGACTGCAATTCCTCTGTCACCTGGTGCGTGCTGGCACCCAAACAGAGTAACCCCTGACCCCAAACTGAGCTCAGGAGTTGATACTCTGCAGTTCCTGAAATCCAGAGTCAATGGGCAGGTGTACTAAAACCCCAGTTGGGCTCACAGAGGTCTTTGACTGTGGAGAGCTGCTGTGCCCAGGGCTCCCCTGCATGCTCTCAGTCGCAGGGATTGCTACCTGTAAAGGAGCAGGCTTTGCGCACTTCCATAGGAGTGTGTCTGTCTGAAGCTGCCATTCAGAAGAGAACATCTGACAGCTATTGAGCTGCGATGTCCATGCAGGAGGGGCCGACAGGGTGGCACCGTGGCCAAGTCTGGTCCCTGAGCCAGCACCCAGATCTCTGAGCCAGCAGTGACCATGCTCCTATGTGTACCCAGGTCTCTCAGCTGAAGCCTACATGGCTGCCATTATGGCCTGGGAGTGAAAGCAACTCCAAGTGACTCCCAGGCTGCCCCTGGGGCTGCCAGAGCCATGCCTTGTCCCATCTGTCCAGTTCAGAGTCAGGTTATGCAAGAACAGCAACTGCTCAGATCTGCCCAGTGGACTGCCACTGAGCAGACCTGGTGCAGCACCACTGCAGCAGCTCACAGCTGAAACCCTGTGCCAAGAGCACAGCTGGAGCAGACCTCACAGAGCCCTTCTCCTCCCCCTTGCTGTTCCTCCCAGGTCTGCAGCCAGACCCTGCACACAGGGACCATGCTCCCCAGTGTGGGAGGCTGAGACCTGTGAGGTCAGTCATGCAGAGAGGTCCCCTCTCCCTGCTGCCCTGGGTAGTAAAAGCAGGGCTCTACTACACCGTGTGTGGCTGTGACACTGGTCTGCATGGCAAGCTGCTGTGCTGCGCTGCAGTGAGGCCTGATGGGGTCACAGAATCACATCCCGCCCCTTGTGATCCCTGCTGCTTCACATCCCTTCGTCTTGTCTCTGCTCGAGCCATGTGTGCCAGCGGTTCTCAGAACACCCTGGACATGTCCTGACTGCACCTCGGTTGCTGTAGCAATACCAGTTCATCTCAACAAGGAAACATTTCCCTTGAATAAAGAGCCCAGAATACAGGATTTTTCCCTTAAAACATGTCCCTCCTTGAGTCCTGTTTGTTTGTCTGTGAGGCAGTGCCCTGCTTTCTCTCAGGGCAAGGGGCTGCGTGCTGCAACTGGATACACGGTACTGGAGCACCACAGTGAGGGAGGCCAAGGGGCGCTGGCACAGTGCTGCTCTCCTGCCCTGTGCCAGCTGCCAGGCGGTGTTACGCTGGGCCCCTGTTCTTCAGCTCTGCTGTGACAATAGGCCAGTGCGTGGGCACCGGTCCATGACCGTCCTCAGCCATCCCCAGGCTTATCTCCTCTCCAGGGAGGACCAGAAGAGATGTCCATAGGAGCTGTGTGAAAGCTTTGCCTTGGAGAGCATACCAAAGTGCCTGCTGTGGACAAGACCAGAGCAGGGGAATATCGCAGGAGCACCCTCAGCCCCATACTGTGGCACCTTAGGCTCTGCTACTTGTGTCCCAGGCAGGAACAACCCTTCAGAAGGCAGGCTGCTGCTGACTGCTTTCCTTGTATTTTGTCTGGGCCAAGCCAGCTCTGGAATCGAGGCCTGTTCTGGCAGCCAAATGGTGCCAGAGGGGCAAGGGAGCACAGCCAGCATCCGGCCCCTGGGTTGCAGGAGGTGAGGACACAGCTGTTCTCTAAACCAGGCTGCCATGCTGGTAGCGGTAATCTGTTTTCCATTCCTGGACGTATGGCCTGATTTCATCTGTGTGCATTGGAACTCATGTTATCAAAGCTGGTAGCAGAGCTCTTACACAGAAGGTAGGCTAGTCCAAGGCCACATAGCTCTTCTGGATGCCCGATACTGCATCCCTATCGCCTGACCAGTTCCCCTGGTGGTTGAATGTAGTGGCTGAAACAGGTTGCAGAGAGAGTGAGGCTCTGCAGGACTCCCCAGGGCAGGAGTTCAGCCACAGGAGCACAGTTCCTCCTCATTACATTTGAATGCATGCTTGTAGGAATGCTGCCAGTCATTTTAGTATATCTTTTAGGATGCCCTCCACCTTCTTGGGTGGGACAGCAATATCTCGTCATTACGAAAGCCCAGGTGCACAGTGGCTCAGGAGGGTAAGAACAGATGTCTGTCCTAAGACCCCTAGCAGGAGAACTACTGGCAGTTCCTATAGTGTCTTTGTAAGGATTTGACCTGGCCTAGTAGCTGCAGTTAGGTGACTTTGCCTTCACGCTTGATGAGCTTGCGTAGCAGGATTGGGTTCAACATGGAGCAGTTCTTTTTTACACTGGCCATACCTCAGGTGGTGTCTCCATAGTGGGAGGACTGTTGCATGCTTTAATGTAAGCAGAAGCTCTCTGTCCTGAGCAATGTGCAGGATTTATTACCCAGGGTAGCTCACTGAGAGTGATGAGAAGGCTCTCAGTTTGGAGAGGGCTCAGAAGAGCTCAGTGTGTTTGTTGTGTCTATTGGAGAATGGATGGATGAGCAGAAGGATGGACTGAGTGCAAGAGAACGAGAGAGAAGATGAGGGATGGATGTGCTGGTGCATCACTCACCCCCTCTTCACCCACCCCACCCTGCTGTTTCCCTGCTCCCAGGTGCCATCTCAGTTAAGGACTCCAGCAGCCTGGATTTTGAGGCCAGCCCCCGTTTGCGCCTTGTGGTCCAGGCAGAGACAGCAGCTTCCTTTGGCTTTATGGCCATAAACCTTAACCTGCAAGATGTGAATGACAACTTGCCACGCTTCCAGCTGCAGAACTACGTGGCATTCATCTGGGAGTCACAGAGCTATGACTCACCAGTCATCCAGGTATCACTGGGGGCACAAAGAGGGACACCCGGGCCACTGGCCTGCCTCTCTGCCGGGGCGAGGGGGGTAAGGCTCTGCCATGGGCCTGGGGCTGGCAACGCCTGCCTCTCTGCCGGGGTGAGGGGGGTAAGGCTCTGCCATGGGCCTGGGGCTGGCACCTACAAATAGGGATAGCCTTGGAAGGCTGTGGTTTGCAGGGCTCCACAACTGCACTGCTGATTCTCTCATGGCTTTTCAGGTCCTGGCAGATGATCTGGATCAGGGAGCGAATGGGCAGGTGATTTATGCCATCAACCAGTCCCTGCCAATGACAGGCTTGTACCACATCGATCCTCAGACTGGCACTATCACTACTGCTGCCATCCTGGACAGGGAGATCTGGTCCCAGACCCGGTGAGTGGAGCCAAACTCATGATATGAGGGGGTCTTAGCTGTGGAGCAGCATGCCCGAGGCTGTGGAGGATACTCTGCTACTTGGTGCCACCCAAAGCTGTCACAGCCCTGTCTGTAAAATGTTTTTGCCAAACAGCAGGAACTTAGGCTTAGTGTCGTCACGGGGAGCAAATGGTATTGAAGGCATGACAGATGGCCATGAGATGAGCCAGTGCTCTGTTCAGCCTGGACTCTGCAAATCTGAGAAGATTGTGAGGGGGACAGTGGACTCTTTTCAGTGGCTACATCCATTCCTTTTCCTGCCTGCTTAATCCAGACCACATACGCCCAGTCCCTTCCCACTCCCATCCATTGCACTCTTCTGCCCCACCACACGTGCTCCAGACACTGTGCAGTGCCCTGAACCCTCTTGCAAGTCCTCCTGCATTCAGCCCAGGTCCTCTGGGCCCCTCACGTGTGCACACAAGTCTAGACATCATCCAGCCAGTCTAGCCACATGTATATAAGGTAATGGCAAACACTACACACAATGAATTTAAGTCTTCCCCTACCCTTTTATGCATGCATGGTTCAGATGCAAGGAACAACTTCTGCCACCTCGCCCAGTCTATGTTGTCTCCGCCATATGCATGCTTCAATGGCGACATGTCTCTCTCCCCTTTTCCCAGACATGGGGAGGCCTAGGGCATTTGTTCCATTCACATATCGCTCACCATTCCACAAAGATGCTCCATGCATTCTCCAACACCCAGATATGCTCCAAATGCTTGTCTCCCTGCACCCCACAGTATGTTCTGCCTGCATCATCTCCCACACGCATTCCAGACTCCTGCCCCTTGCACAGACTGAAAATGCTATGGGTGCATCCACTGCCTCCCCTTGCCAAAGCCTCCAACGATGCATGCATCTTTGGTGCATGTGCCCATGCCAGGGCTGTGCATGAACCCACTGCCCACCACATGCTCCAGACACTTGTGCCCACATTCACTGCCTGCTCGTATGTTCCAGGTGCTGCACACAGACTCAGTGCCCTCCAAACACGCATGTCAGATGTGCATCCGTCTGCTGCCCTGCCCCACCATACTCTTGATGTACACACATCCACTGCCCCACACATGCAGTCCAGATGCTCTGCGCGTATCCATTGCCCCAGACACTCCAGATGCTGTGCACAGTTCCACTGCCACATGTACACACTCCAACCCTGTGCACACGTGCAGTACCCCCCGACATGTTCCAGATGCTGTGCATACGTGCATTGCTCCCTCACACATATGGCCACTTGTCTGTGAACCTTGTGCTGTGCCCTTGTGCTTGCCCACAGTTTGGTGGTAACGGCAATGGACAGAGGGACTCCGCCTCTTGTGGGCTCTGCCACGCTGACCGTTGTGGTGATGGACATCAATGACAATAGCCCCACCATCCCATTTCCCTGGGAGGTGCGGGTCCCAGAGAGTAAGTGCAGCTCAGCCCCACGAGGTAATGCGCCACCGATGGCAAGAGCTGAGGCGCGATGGACACCTGTTGGGTCGGGGAGAAGCCCCCAGAGAGGCCTGTCCGTTCCCTTGCCAAGGGCTGCCTTGTGCTGACCCACTGGCTGAGCTCCCCCCGAGCTCTTCGGCACTGCCCTGTCTGCGACAGCCTGGGGCTGGGGGTTGTACGGCCCCTGTGCTGCAGCTGTATCCCGAGGGAACCAGCTGAAATCCCAACTCCTCCCTGGCCCCTGCCCGCACTGCAGGGGCTCTGGCTGCACACACCTGCCCTGCCTGCTCCCTGTCCTTGGCCTGTGTGCCCTGTGCCTGTGCCAGTCTTGGTCTGCCCTGCCTAGCTCCCAAGACCTTCCCCTTCACCCCTAGCATCTCCCCCTTGTCCCCAGTGCTCAAGCTCTGGACTGAGCTGGTTTCCCACCATGTGAGCCAGGTCTTCTCCAAGGAGATGGGGCTGCTTGCTCATACCTCACCTCTCCACAGACACGCTGCTGGGCACCCAGATAGCCCAGCTGACCGGGAACGATGTGGACTCGGGCCCCGCACTCTCCTACACGCTCATGCTGGATGGTGATGCCATGGGCACGTTCAGTGTGCTGCGGTACGGGGGACGCATTGCCCTGACAGGGCCACTGGACTATGAACAGCGGAGCCACTACACCGTGGCCTTGCGTGCCTCTGACACACGCCATGAGACCGAAGCCAACCTCACCGTCATTGTGGAGGATGTGAATGACAACGCACCAACTTTCAGCCAGGGCTTCTATCAGGTACTGTGCACGCAGGTGTGCCGGGCAGTGTGGGCCATCCTGCACAAGCCCCTCTGCTGCTCCTGCCCGGCTCACCTGGCCTTACAAGGCACAGAGATCCCCTGAGGATGGGTCTGAGCCCGTCCTCGCCTGTCTCTTCCTGGGCTCCCATGCACATCCTGACACCCCTCGCGCTGTCACTGTGCTGTGGACAGGAAGCAGAAACCAGGCTCGTAGCACTGGGATCAGCAGCTGTGGGCCTGCACAGCTGTATGCAGATGGTACCTCCTGGAATAGTGGGGACAGTGGGAAGGCCAGAAGTAGTGGGAGATGGGTCACAACCTGGACAAGTGTTTCTGGCGAGACCGGGCCTGTGGCAGATCACTGGATGAAAGCTGACTTGTGCAATGTTCTGCATGTCTGGAGCAGAGATGCAAGAAGCTGGGAAGCCACAGAAATGCTTCAAGGTTATGACAGCACAGCCCAATGGAACTGTGTGTTTGTGTGTGCTGTTTGGTACACCAGAAAGACAAGAGCTGGTTTGATTTCTGTGAAATACCTTTTGCAGAGAAAATACCGGCTATTAAAGAGTTCTTCAGAATAGCAGAGCAAAGTAGAGAAAAGGACCAGGAACTGGACTCTGAAGCTGGCTGGGAGTCATACTAACAAGGCTAGGTGCTGTGCATATGGGACAGGCCCCCGCGGTGTGCCAGAGGTGGCCCTGGTGCAGAGGTGGGGAAGGCACTGGCCAGTGATGAGCTGGACCACTTTTGCTTTCACTGACCCGGCCAGCTCCAGACCAGCTGGCTGGCTCCAGGCAAGGGGGAACAGGTACCAGCATGGGGGACCCGGCACTGACTGGGGCTTCCTCCCCTTCCAGGTGACACTGCCAGAGCACACGCCTGCAGGCAGCATCATTCTCACTGTGAGCGCAACCGACCCAGACTCGGGGAGCAATGGGGATGTCACCTTTCACCTGGCTGTGCCCAGCCCTGACATCGCCATCGACCCCAGCAATGGTATGTGGGGCTGGCTGCTGTGCGGGCCCGTCTTGTGGAGGTGCAGAGGGAGGTGCTCCTGTGCTGGCCCAGGCTCAGCCCCTCCCCAGGTCGCTGTCTGGAGTGACTGGTGAGGCAGACATGGTGGTGCGGCCATCGAGTGCTCCCACTGCAGCATCCCGGATGTCTGTTCCTCCAGCCAATAACCCTAACACCCTTTCCAGTCCCCTGTTGGCCTCCATTCTGACTCTGGCTTTGTGCCCTCACAGGGACCCTCTTCACCATCCGGCAGGTGGAATTCAACACCAGCCAGCCCACCCTGGACCTGGTGGTGGAGGCCCGTGACTGTGGCTCTCCCAGCCTCTCATCCTGGACCACAGTGCAGCTCCAGGTGCTGGATGTGAATGACCACAGCCCCAGCTTCCAGGTGCCATGCTACAATGCCAGCGTCCCCGAGGACCTGCGTCCAGGAACAACCGTGCTGACACTAGAGGCAGGTGATGCCGACCTCTCCCGGGAGAATGCTGGTTTCGACTACACTATCGTCAGTGGCAATGGTGGCAACGCCTTCCAGGTGGAGAGCCGGGTGGCCTGGACAGGGGGGCATCTCCGCACGCAGGGTGCCTTAGTGCTTGTGGAGCCCTTGGACTTTGAGGCCATCCCAGTCTACAACCTCAGTGTGGCTGCGTCGGACCGGGGCCTGCCACAGCGCAGTGCCACAGTGCCTGTGCTCATCACCGTCCAGGATGTCAACGACAACCCGCCCGTGTTCACTCGAGCTGAGTACCGCACAGCGGTGAGCGAGAGTGCACCCCCCGGTACAGAGCTGCTGCGCGTGGTGGCCCATGATGCTGACTCGGGGCCCCGCGGCCATGTTCACTACACCATCAGCTCAGGTGACCAGCATGGGCTCTTCCAGCTTCACGAGACCACAGGGGCCCTGTGCCTGGCACGGCCCCTGGACCGGGAGGTGCAGGCGCTGCACGCACTCGTGGTGCAGGCCACAGACATGCCGGGCGGGCACTTTGCACTGGTACCTGTAGCCATCGAGGTGAAGGATGTCAACGATAACAAGCCGTACTTCCCAGTGGAGGTGCTGAGTGCCAGCATGCGGGAGAACCTGCCTCCTGGCACACTGGTCACCACACTGCGTGCCATAGACGCAGACACCGGTGTCTTCGGGGAGCTGCGGTACACAGTGCTCGAGCAGCTGGTGGGGGAGCCAGGCATGGCAGAGGGCCGGGATGCCTTTGCCGTCAACAACAGCTCTGGGGAGCTGCGCTCCCGACTTACCTTTGACTATGAACGAGCCAAAGCCTTCCAGCTCCTAGTCAGGGCCACTGATGCTGGCAATGCCTCTGCCACGGTGACCGTGCGGGTGCTGGTGACAGGGGAGGATGAATATGATCCCATCTTCCTGAGCCCCTCCTTCAACTTCGAGGTCCCTGAAGGTGCTCGCAAAGGGCAGAGCATTGGGCGGGTCCTGGCAACAGATGAGGATGAGGGGGCGGATGGCGTTGTACTGTACTCCCTGGCAAAGCCCTCACCATACTTTGCCATCAACCAAACCACAGGCACCATCTACCTGCGTGTGGACAGCCAGCCCCAGGCTGGGGCCGGGCGTGCCAAGAGGGAGCCACGTGAGATGAGCCTGGAGGTGCAGGCGCGCAGCCCCCTGCCCACCTCCCGCTCAGCCTCTGCGCAGGTCACCATCGATGTCACGCACACCTCCTTTGGCCTGGCTCCGGACCTCAACCTGCTGCTGGTGGCCGTGGCTGCCTCGCTGGGGGTTGTGGTGGTGCTGGCCGCCGTGGCCATTGTGCTGGCACTGGTCCGCTCTCATCACCGCCGGGGCCACGAGAAGCCGGAGGGGGACAGGCCGCTGGGCCGCGTGCAGAGCGGATCCCTGCAAAAGCTCAGCCGCGAGGAGCCGGCGCTTCCTGGGGGCGAGCACATTTACCACCAGGCCCTGCCAGGGTACGGGGGCGAGCCGGCAGGGCCCTACACACGGGGGGGGCCGCGGGCCGCGTTCCAC